TAGAAGGGACACGTCTATAGTCAAATAACTACGATTACCAAAATTGAAAAGAAAGCTCTCGATATGTCTCTTTCAAAGAGTAGCAAATCGATGTTCGTTACGTGTGAAGTTTATTCTAAGCCGCATGATGTCTTGTTCTGTGGAACTTCCAGGTCACGACGTATTGCCTATCATACTTAATTTTGATGCCATTATTGGCTTTGCATGGTCCTAAGCATGCCATCATAGCATGTGTTATATAATCATTGGTTCTCGGAATCTTATCCCTCTTTACCTCTCAGTCTAACGGTAGGTATAAATATAATGAATACCAGATGGATGCATTATTGACAAGTTCATTTGTTGTCTAGGTGATGCTATTGGTTATTAGTTTTCTTTTCCTATATATGAATAGCCAAAAAAAAAAATTTAAATTAAATAAGGAGATTAAAATGGTGAATCTCGGGTAGATCCAGGAGTGGGGCATGGCCTTGATTTTAATATTTTCATCTGATATGCCTTATACTTCCTACATTATCATATGCCCGTTTAAAATGCAGTTATCTAATCCATAAGCCATTTGAGTAAATGGGAGTGGGACAGTACTTGTCAAATCCTTGCATTTCTAAATTGAAATTCAAGTAAGTCTTTAAAGCATTGGTCAAGTTGAGCTACTATATTTAACCATTCAATTTAAACAAAAAGGTTATAACAGACAAGATTTCAAGAGGAATTGTTAAAGTTATGCAAATAATATCAACTAGCTCAATTACTTGATTAACGACTCATTTTTTTTTTTTTTTTAATAAGATCCAACATAGTTGTTGCCGGTTGTTAATTCTAATAATACAATTTCAACATATACAGTATTTTTTCAAATATTAAAACTTAGTTTTATTATTTTATATTCAACAATAATTTGCAATACTAAATGAAGAAATATTCAAAACCACCTTCATTATATTGATATCCATCTTTATGCAATATAATATAAGCAGAAAAATAATTTTATTGTAACTTTATGATCTAGAGTTATGTTTTGTGTTTTAAACTTCTTGTCTGAGATATAAAGCCCAGAGTTAAGGTGGTATAGTTTCATTGGGCTCAGTATTGGGAGCCTTAATTAGTACAGCTTTGGCCTGACAATTAGGTCAACATGATAAGCCTGAATTGTTTGTCAGTGTATCAGGTTCAAAATACGCAGGGAAGTAAAATATAACATAGGTTCATCATGGCCCATAAGCTTGATGGGATATCTTTACTGGAAAAAGCCCAAGATACAAAGGAGCCATGTTTTGCCTTTATATATATATATATATATATATATATATATATATATATATGAAGGATATTCCTTCTACTACCATCTCATTACCACTAGAGGTATAAATAGGCTAGGCTGGTTTACAGGGACCTATGGTCCAGCCTATATTAGGTCAGACTTGGCTTATTATAAATTGTAAAATAGAACATGCCAAGGTTTTTTTAAAAATCTATTTAAAAAATAGGCCATATATTTTTTTGTACGTGTCGGGCCTATAAGCCTACAGGCCGGCCTATATCATATTATTTAAAATAAATAATATAAATATATTATTTTAATAATTTTGAATAATAAAATAATATTATTTTAGTTCTTCTTTTAATTGTTGAATGTTTAATAGGCTTAAACAGACTAACAGGCCTAGGCCAAGACTTCAATTTTTTAAGTATAGGTCAGACCAGACTTATAATTTGGGGCCTACACAGGCTAATAGGCCAGGACATACCTAATATTTTTACACAGGCCTAGCCTATTTAAACCAAAGCCTAGCCCATTTACACTCCTAATTACCACTCTAATCACCATCGGATTAAAGAAAAAGTTGAACGAATAAAGAAAAAAACAAAACAACTTTTGAATCCAATGGTGATGAGAGAATTTACACTAGTAGTAGAAAAATTGATAATAAGAATATCATGTCTCATGTGTGTGAGTACATATGAGAAAAATATTTCTCAAGTTGTTTGAGATAACTTTATTCCCGGCTACTAAATCATAATCGTACAAAGATGGTTCAATGGTGATAAAGGAAGAGAGAGAAAAATGAAATCATAATCATTCAAAGATGAATCAATAAATATAAGGAAATAAATAAACAAAACGACATAGTTTTAGATTGCCTGGAGATAAATATATCTTAAGCAACTTGATAAATATTTTTCTTATATATATATATATATAAGGTGCTAGTTGATTTATCTAGTAGAATATTTACAATCAACGAAGGGAAAAGTGTGTATCATTCTAAAAGATATAAAATTTTGCCATTTTAAATGAGAGAAAAAGATAAATCATAGAAGAGAGTAAGGGATTGGGAAAATTTTAAAGATGTAGGTCTCACCTCTTTAAGAGAGTGAAATAATGTAAATTTATCCATAAATGAAAGTGCATAAGTTTTTTTTTCTCATTTTAACAGGGAGATGAAAATCTAAAAAATTAATATTTTCATCTTAGAGGATGTTTTATTAAATAAAAGAAGACATCCTTTTCGCTTAATTATAAATGGGGATTAACCTATTTCGTGTAACCAAGAGATTGATTCCATGAGCATCCCTCGTGACTCCACCTGAAGACTTGGCTAGATTAGCGTTTGCGAATTTCATTGTACATTCTTTATCACAGGTTATTATTTCTCTTGCTTCGCATCGCAATTTTGTTTTTCTAGATTTCGGCCTTCCTTTACACTAAAACAAAAGTTTTAATTTAATTTATCAACAAGATAGGATATTCATACTACCAAATTTTTTTACTACTACTGCATTACTACTCTAATTACTATTAGATTAAAGAAAAAATTAAATAAAAAGAGAGATAGAAAAAATAACTTTTGAATCGAATGATGATTAAAGTGGTAGTGTAGTAGTAGTAGAAAATTTTGGTAATATAAATATCTTACTTCAGATAAATAACCCCTTTTAAAATTTTAATAAATATCAAATTATTTAAGTTAGAGCACTAAATTTATAAAAAATTTAAAAGGTTAATGTATACTTATAGTGAAAATTTTGTATTTAAAAATTAAAATCGAGTTTGGGAATCTAATTAATGATTATGCACATGTAATAATAGAAATGTAATCTCATTATATTCATAATACATTCATTTAAAAGTAATTACCTTAAGTTAATAATGCAAATTATTAATAAATTTTAAGAATTTTATTTATCCAAATAAATAAAATTATTTATTTATAAAGAGAAATCGAATTATTATTTTGGCTTGGAGGAAGAAGAGATCACTTCCACTTTTTTATCATGCAATTGGAAACTAGGTTGTTTTTATAAAAAATAAATAAATGAGTTGGTTAATTTAAATTAATTAAAAAATGAAAGAACTATTTTTTTTTTTTACTTTTCACTTTTGGTATTTTTATTAATTTTACTTGCAACAATAAAAAAAAAACTTCTGACTTATTAACATGTAGACTAAAATAATAAAAAGGGCATAAATTATGGGGAAAAGTATTACTCATCAGAGGATGATAAAATGAATAAACTTATTTTATGGGAAAAATGTGTGTTATTTTAAAGAACGTAAAGTTATGTCATTTTAAAGAGAGAGAAAGAGATAGATAAAGGAGAAGAGAGAATTGACAAAAAAAATAAAGGTGTGGGTCCCACCTTTTTAGAGAGTGAAATAATATAAGTTGTATCATTTAAAAGGATAAACATTTTTCCCTTATTTTATTGGCGACAAAACTTTATGCATAAAGCTTTAAGGGTCTTTTTTATGGGAAAAATAAATCTTATGTTGTAGGAGATTCTAATCTCATGTCATAGATACATTATGTGTGGGACCCACCTATTTAAAAAAAGCAAAAAATAAAAAAATGAGTGGCACACCTTTTTATGGTGTGTGTAGGAAGGGTTTGTTTTCTCATGCAACATGAGAAAAACAAACCCCTCTTTTATTGTGTTGTATTTTTTTCTTAAAATTATTTTGTTGAATAATTAATAAAATAATTTTTTTTATGTTTTATGTATTTTGAAAATTAAAAGATAAAATACAAAACAAAAACAGCTAAGTTATCTTCACTAAATTTGATTCTAAAAATAAAAAAATAATTACAATTTATATTTTTTTTTTACTAAATAGACCTTTTCGAAACAAATTTCAAACTTTCCCTCAATGCCTCTTTGGATAATTTTTTTTGTAAATTAAAAGTTACTTATAAGCAGAAGTTACGCTAAACAGATTTTAAGAAAAATTCTTATAATAAAAAATTCTTTTTTTATAATGAAAGAAAAAGTCAAAAGCCAAAAACTCCTAAGAAGAGCTTTTTTTGAACTGTATATTTTTTTTAAAATAAAAAGTTATAAAGATCTAGAGAAATTTTTTTCTTTAAATATGTGTTTTTAAGCTAATATTTTTAAATAATCACCAAACAAATTTTAATTTTTTTTTAACTTTAACTTATAAATAATTTCTACCTTAATAAACACTATTCAAACATGCTATAAGTTGCACACAATTGTCCTAGTTTTCACTTAAAAATAAAATTATTATAACAACACAAACTCCATACTCAATATTAAATCCAAGTGTTTTATGTTTATTTTTTCTTTTCACTTACACACTAAGGATTAGCTTTTTATATAGAAGAGAGAAATCGTAAAATGTATGACTTATGTTTATTTTTTCTTTTCACATTCATTTTTTTTCTCATTAACTCTATTTTTTATTTTGTTTTCTCAATTAAACAAAGCTTGGAAAAAATTGATTTGCACAACTATGATATCAATAAAAAAAAACAACAATAATAATAAATTAACATTGAAAAAGAAAATAAATGTTCACTTAATTAATGAGACTAAATTCAGAGGTGATGGAAAAGGGACGAAAGTGTGGTAGGAGAATGAGCGACGTGGCGAGCATCTAGCGAAGAAGGAAAAAGGATCGTCGGTCTCCATCGGACGGTTAAAACGGTGGTTAGGTGATCTACTGGTCCACACACACGATATGTTATGTTACGACTTACGAGGCTTGTGTTTGTCGTCGTTGTGGATAGACATAGACACATACAGTGTTTCTTGTTCCACTACCTTAAACTACTCTTTTTCAGAGAACCCAACAACACACACGAACACTAACTGTTAAATCTCAGAGGGACGAAGATGGCGTTGGGGGTACCTGCACTTCCGTTCACATTTGTTGTTCACCTTTTGGGTGTTGTTGCCATCATCTTGGTCTTGGTCTGGAACTTACATTTCAGGGGTGGCTTGGCTTGGGATTCTTCCAACAAGGCTCTCATCTTCAACGTACCTCTCTCTCTCTCTCTCTTTGTTCCTTGATTATGGGTCTCTGATTTTATTTTTTATTTTCCCTCTTCCCTTTTGATTTGTTATTGGGTTTTCTTGTTCTCCCTTTTTCTCGGAAAATAAATTTTAATGGGTCTTTACTGAATTTGAATTTTGATTCGGAAATTTGGGTTTTCGATTGTGTTCCGAGTTTCTGGGGAATGAGTTTCTATGCAGTAAAATTACAATTTTGCTATTTTTATAAACGACTTGGATTTTTACCTGTTAACAAGTCAACGATGACTTCAGTTAGGTTTTATATTATGAGTCACTGTTTTAGCGTGGGGATGGGGTGTATTATCTACACCCATATGTTCAGGGGAGTGTTTAAGTTTTAATTTTTCCTCTTTTTTTGGTTATATATCGGTGATAAACATACGAGTGTGTAAACGGGTAGTTCTACTATTTAGGTCTTACATTAGTGTTAGCAGATTGTTGAAATTGAGATCTTGGGGCCTAAACCCAACTGCAAAGTGTCTTTTGATGCTTAGTTTTCTGTGATATTGTGCAATCGTTTTTTTTTTTTTTTTGAATTATGTAATCAAGTATTTAATTTTACAAAGTTGTGATTCTTTGGAGGTATAATGTTGATATAAATGCTCTTCCAAATTTATCCTAATACAAATATAGTCAATAATTCTGGTGTTAATATGCAGCTTAAAAAATTGGTGTTTGTATGATTAATTATTTTAAATAAATTTTATTCAAAGAATAGTTAACTAAATTTATTTGTCTATATTTTTGATATTGAAAAATAGCTTGGATTGAAGCGTGCAACAAGTTTAAGGTTTTTAATGGTCCAATTTCGATTTGTTTGAAACAGAGTCTTAAAATTAATGTCCATTCGATAATTGTATATTTGTATTGCCTTTTAAGAGTGGTGTTTTAAATAAATTTTTATCTCAAGCTTGCAAACATTTGAATAATTTTGATGTGATTTATTTATAAAAAATTAGGAAAATGTTATACTTACAACCATTTTTTCCTTATAACCACTTTTATTATCGTTCGATCAAAATCAAATCAAAGGTTATAAATTGGCATGAAACGAGAGTCGTTAATTTAATTTTGATCAAATGGTAATAAAAGTGTTTTTTTTTTTGGTAAACAATAAAGGGAAATCATTTTCTTATGTAATAGGAGATAGTTTTCTCATGTTGTGAGACATCGAAATTCGTGCTATCTTTTTAGTTTTTCTTCTTTTTTAGTAAGTGGTGGGCCCCACCACTTATTGTGTCTATGACATGAGAGATGATATCTCATGTGACATGAGAAAAGAGAAGCCCAACAATAAAAGTGTTTTTTTAATGTAGGGCATGTGTGCGTGTATATATATAGAAAAAAGTAATTGTCATGTTAAATGACATAAAGTTATGTCGTTTTAAGAAAAAGATAGACACAAAATAATATTTTTTTATTTAATATTTAAATTAAAAAAAAAAGGAAAAAAGTATCTAATGTTACTTTAGATAACTTTGTCTAATGTTCATCAAAACGACGTCGTTTTAGGGTTGAAAAATTAAAAAATTAGAATGATAAAGACTATTATAACCCTAAAATAAATTAAAATTACATAAACACCATGATTTCCGCCCTAAAACGACGTCGTTTTGATGAACATTAGATAAAGTTATCTAAAGTAACTTTAGAAAACACAAACCCTTAAAAAAATTACCCACTTTTTCTCCCATTATTTTCATTTATTGTGTCTATCTCTCTCTTAAAATGACATATATATATATATATATATATATATATATATATATAAGAGGCTGCTGCCGCTCGTGGTCAATTAAATATTAGATATTGTTTTTAATTTATAGTCATTCATATCATAGCTGTGCCAGATCCCTTTCGTTGTCTGAAAAATTAAATAAACAGAAGTTCTGTTTTTTATTGCTAACCATGTGATGATGGCTAAAGTAGTGGCCTGCTTTTGCTTTTTTCAAAATCTACTCTGCTTGTAATAAAATATTAAAGCTCCTCTGGATGACCAAGAGAGTTGGAGAGGGAATATGAAGTTAATTATCACAAAATTTCTTTTTGTTTTGTTTTGCATTTTGAATCATTGATCTTTGAATAGAAGAGGTAGTAGCCCCTTTTATTCCAGTGACTGTTAGTATTGCAATAGCATATAGGACCCCAAGTGTTTTTTTCCCTATTTCGTTGGTCAGTTTCTACCTCGCAAGTTTCAGGAGTTATCTGGAGGCTGTGTTTCCCTAAAACATGATTAGAACTAACCTTTATCTGGATTCTTCCAATACTAACTTTTAGGATCAAAGTCGATGGTATTATTCCTTAGAAGATTTTATTATTATCTGTTAAATTTAATGCTTTGATTAATTTTTGGCCCCATTTCTTACCTACCCATTTTTAATTTAATAATTGATGGGGTCCAAATTTCCTATCCTGCACAATGGACTTGGACTAGACTTTCTTATCTGTTCCGTATTTGAGTGGCAAATGAATTTGGACGTGATACTGCTTCTATGTGATGCCAACTCAAGCACTAGACTTGGACAAATGATACCCTCGAGACTTTTTCAGCTATTCTTAGCTTTCTGTCATTTTGTGTGTGGTTGTTCACTGGTGCCATCATTGGCTTCGAGTTATCGTGATTCGTGAATGTTTTGACTGTCAAAACCTTGCATATTTTCTTTTTCCAGATAATCTGAGTTTTGAATTTTGTAGTGTACCACGCATGTATTGATTATACCATTAGCACATGTCGCTTTCTTCTAGAAAAAAGAATAATATGCTTATTTTAATTAAGTAGTTTGAAATTGAAACAATCGTGATATTCAGATATGGGATCCATCGAATCTGAATTATCATTGAATCTTGTTATGAATTATTGAATCAACGAAATGTATGAAGAATAACTTATTAAACAAGTTGATTTATTATAATATCAGTGACTAGTATCACTTTCGTGAAGTCCCTTATATCTTACATATCTTTCTCTTTGTACAGATTCATCCTGTTCTTATGATTATTGGCTTAATCGTTATTGGAGGGGAAGGTAATCAAAATTCGTCTACAAGTTTCTGCTTTATGAATCAATGCCATTTGATTTAGTTGACCTACTAATTGTTTCTCTGATTTTCTCAAATCTAACTTAAAAAATATTGCAGCTATTATAAGTTACAAATCTCTTCCCCTGAAGAAGGAAGTGAAGAAATTGATACACCTTGTTCTCCACGCCATTGCATTAATACTTGGAATAATTGGAATTTATACTGCCTTCAAGTTTCATAATGAAAGTGGGATTGCCAATCTGTACAGCTTGCATTCATGGCTCGGACTTGGGGTTATTGTCCTTTATGGCATTCAGGTAAACCATTGGATAAGACTAAATTATCCTGCAAATAGAGTATTCTTAGAATGCTAGATATGATTATGGTTAAGTTTATGATTTTCATATTCTCATACTGCCTTACTTAGGCATTGCTCTCTCAACCCTTTCTGAAATATGAGAGCTTGGGCTTACAATTTAAGCACCAGGAATAAACCCAATGGTGCAAACTCTGAATTGAAAATCTGGACTTTTGCCGCACCATGTTGCATTATTACTCAGTTATCTTCAAACTTTGTCTAACATTGTATTGGTTACCTGCAGTGGATATATGGGTTTGTGATATTTTTCTACCCTGGTGGGACTTCAGCCATTAGACGTGACTCACTTCCTTGGCATGTCCTGTTTGGGATATTTGTATATGTCTTAGCTGTTGGCACTGCTTCTCTTGGTTTTCTGGAGAAGCTCACTTTCCTTGAGAACTCAGGATTGGCAAAATATGGTTCTGAGGCTTTACTTGTCAACTTCACTGCTGTGATCACAATCTTATTTGGTGCCTTTGTTTTATTAACTGCTGCATCTGATGCTCCTGCAGCCGAAGATGACTACGCAGCCATATAGATTTATTTTTGCATCATACTATCATGGATAACCTCATGTATGCTATTAGTTTGTACTGGGAGTGGGAAGGTGGAAATAATATATGTTGTGTCTGTATTTTTGGACACCCAGCTTGTATTTAATCATCAATATTATCCCTGAAACATGTGATTGTTCATTGGTTTATATCCTGTGTAATTTAATTGTCAACTTTTCCTTGGTCCGCAGTTGAGATCTTAATATGTGGCAAAAGATTGAAAATTCAGTCCATTGTGTAATTTTATGCATTTACTTTAACTTGACATATTTGCGCATCTTTTTCTTTCCCTTTTATTTTTTTTTTCTTTTTTCGCTAGCTGCTAGGAATATATATATATATATATATATATATATATACACATACACACATTCAACCTGATATGAACTCCACTAGTTTAAATGTATCAAGTCATGCTTATGCCCAGGTTCATTGCTACATTTCAACTTTTTTTCTTTCTAAATGGGTCCACTAGGGTGGCGTTCTGGATAAATATCACATGTCCCAATCATCATAATCCCAATATTCAAAGACCCTTATCCGATTGCGAGCCAACTCTAGTAGGGCTGTGAAAAAAACTAATTGAATTCAAATTTCAACTAATTCAAACCGTACTTAAAGACTTTCATCAACTACGTGTCTGACTAACTAACCCAAAAGAGTCCTTAAGGCGGGTCAGGGAGAAGCCTATGACCGGAAATTATCACCGATGAGTTAAATGGATTAAATATATCAAATGAGTTCGACATCACATCTCAATTCAAAAGAATTTTTAAGGTATTAGGTTTATGAGTCTTTTTATTTATATACTTTTTATTTAACTCATTATCAACTAATGTGAGATTTATCACACTTGTATATCTCAATAGTCCAGATCTCATGAGCTGTGGGAACAAGAGTTGTCTCCGGCTTGATTCACAGGGAGCGTTAATAACGCAAAGTGTTAAAACTTTGAAGTATATTAATTCTGTTCATTCCTAATCACTTAAAAGGAATATACGTATACCAAAGAAAATAATAATAATTAAGAGCAAAATGTAACAAGGGAAATCAGTGATGACGGATTACAATCTTCTGCATTTGAGAAAAAACTGCAGAAGGTGTAATGATTGATTTAAAGGCTGAAATTTATTAAATTATATTGTAAATTTCAAGCATAAAACCGCAGGGGATGCTTTTCCATGAATGACTATGGATCCGGTCAGGTTCATTAATATGTACGTCATGGGTCAACACCAACCCAATCATTCAATTATTTTGAGAAGAAATGAAAATGACCCATTTCCTATTTATTAAAGCTACCAATTGTGTAATCCTTATCTTGTAATCTTGCATCGTAGCCCATGGATGGTGGCTCTCAGCCTACGTTGGTTCCACCTCCAACCCCTCCCCCAAATCCCATTAGGAAGCAATCTAATTAATTCACTTCATAACGTACTATTTAGTATTTCCACAATGATTTACCTGAATGACTAGGGGCTTCCCCTCTTTGATTTTTTTAGTTTTCTCAAGATATTCCCGGTTAAAAACTAATTATTTTGAGGCATAAAGATCATCGAAGTGGATTTGCTTCTATTAACAAAATTTTTTCCATACACACATTCATAGTTACTCTTATTAATTCACTTCATAACGTACTATTTCCACAATTTATGATCGATCTTCTTCATTGAAATATAATTATTATTATTAGAGAAAGAATATACTTATAACTTATTTTCATTTACAACCATATTTTAATTGTTGATTTTCGTCAATATGACAGTTATAATTTATTGAAAATTAATAATTAATTAATAAATATGACTTAATAAATTATAACCGTTAAATTGATGGAAATCAACAATTAAGATGTGGTTGTAAGAAGTTGTAAACGAAAATAGATAGTAAGTATAACTTCCTATTATTATTATTATCATCAGCGAAATAGTAGTCTTAGTTCAGATGGTAAAGAATAAATCATACCATTTCGGAAAATCCCAGTTCCAACATTTTTTAGAGATCATGATGATGCATTCACGTGCAATTTCATGATACTAACAATGACATGGAATATCCAAAAAGAGTTTTTTGTTTTCACTCAGAGAAAGAGCCAACACAAGGGGCATATCTTACCACCAATTTTACATTTTGCATCTGCTTGTTCGACCAAACCTTGTCCCACAATCTCTCTTTTCTTAGCCTAGAATATATTACTGGTTTAGCACACTTGTAATCCACTTTATATTTATTTCCACGATTTTATAAAAGAAGGTAAAAAAAGGAAAATACTTTGTTTTAACTCTTACTCCAATTTGAAAATGAAATTAATTGACATGATGCTTTTTAACACTTATTGTTTGGTGAGAGCAAAGGTGCAAAAAGCTAAAGATACAAGTTACACGACAAAGAAAAGCTATAAGTGAACAGAAAGGGTGTGAAAACCCCAATAACATTATATTAAAGGGGATTAGCTTCTCAAGGAGGTTACAGAAGCAACACGGCCTATCCTAGATTATGAGACAAACTATAATTTTAGAGTAGGGTTATATTGATAATTGTTTTTTTATAAATTTATAAATTATATTATGTCTTGACCGATAATATTAGGCATAGTATAATTTATAAATTTTTTTTTGTAAATATAAGAGGATCACAACTTTACCCTCCTTATAACAGGCACAATTGCGCACCATCCTAAGCTCTTAATTGCGCACCATCCTAAGCTCTTATAGTACTCAAGTGCCTTGAAACCTGTGTTTTTTGTAAAAACACCCATGCTATTTAGTAAGAAAAATTATTTGCACAAGAGTGTTTTGTTGTATTTGGTATTCATTCCATCGATTAATAATGAAATTTTTATTACCACTATCTGGCATAATGTCATTAACCTCAATATTGAAAATGAAAAAAAGGAAATAAACCGAGTTCACTTTTTTAGAAGTTATTATTTCATCTATGGTACTCCCCGGAGAGTTTTGAAATTCCATACATTAAAAAAAAAAAACCATTTTGAAGACTGCTTTTGTATAAACTATAAAGGGTAATATTTGTAATCATACATGATATCACTTTCATTGAATTAAGTGTAACTTTTTATTTTATTTTACATAAATTATGGAGCCGTTTGATGATGTTTGGTTTGTTTGAATCATTAAGTTATATTAATCAGTTAATCACTTACAAAATAATATACAAGTATCCAAATATTGAAAGATTACAAATTTCAATTAATTAAAATTAATTTCATCCTGAAGTAAGCAAAAAGAGAGGAAAATGAACCATGAAAACAATAACAATATGGATTACGGTAAACTCGTGGTTTTACAAGTCGAGCAAGAAACCAATGTACTTGATCATGACAGGTTAGGCCCCAAACAACAAATGATTCCTTTGACATGAAGAAAGAAGAAATCAATGATTTTTTTTAAGAGTAATGCTTTCTTAACAAAAAAATATGGAACCCATTTTATTTTATTTTTTAAAAATATTTATATTAATTTTTTTGAGAAATTAATATGAACCTTATTTAAAAATCTAATTTCAAAGAACTGAAATTTTTGACAGAACACAAGTAAATATTTATTCTTTTTCAAAGTTAAGAAAAGTTTAGAAGCACAGGGCACCATTTGCGTGACGTTTGGCACTGCCACGACTCATTATCCTAGGACACGTTGAATATTTGTTAATTTATTTGTTTTTTTCTACGATATGGACACATTGAATACGATATGAATAACAATCAATACGATACTACCAATAACTTATTGGTATCAACAGGTTAATAACATAAAATATTGTAAAATTAAAAATTAAAAGAATACATTGAAATTTGATGGTTGGCAAGTGAATTTTACATGAATTTTATTAGTAATTAATTTAAAGGAAATATTACTCTCACTTTACATGAAGTAGTTATCTCCTTTCCTTTCACTTCGAAAATCGTGCCCTTTTTTTTTTCTTTTAAATAGCGAGTCCTATTTGAATTCTTTCTGTAATATGAGAGAACTACTCTTATGTTACATGAAAGTAATATTATCATTAATTTAATTTATATAAATAAAATCTAAACAAATATTGATGCAGAGTTGGGGCTGTGTCTCTATTGAAGGGCATTGGCAACTTTTGCATCAGAGGGCACTTGTACCTACCGCAGTCACCCAGCTAAGCATTGTGGAATTTGAGTTTAACAGTTACCTTTCTTCAACCATAATATCCCAACCAACCCTGCCCCTCCATCTTTCTCTATATCTATATCTTTCTTTCTCTCCTATCATATTTGTAACTTTCCTGATAATTAAGTTAGAGTTCCGTTACAACTTTAGTGCAAGGAGTTCTAAATTCTCTAGTCTTTAGAAAAATGACAGAGGAGCAACCCAAAAAGGTAGAGTCCGAATCCCCATCGGATCCTCCTGCACCTGATCAACATGAAACTGAACCTGAACCTGAAGCTGTTGTTCATGCCGCTCCAAAGGATGATAGGCTTGAGGAGAAATCTGAAATTCCACAACCCTCTCCTCCTGATAATAAACCTGCTCACGACTCCAAAGCTCTTGCCATAGTTGACAGTATGACACTCCATACTCCTCTTATCATTCATTCATTCATTCATTCATTATCTCCTTCCAAAAGGGTCATATTATATACATATACAGGGCAACGTCAACTTACATAAGAAATTTTACATATTCTTATAGCTTGATCCACAGGTATCTAATGATTCATATATGTATATATAAGTCATTATGGTGTTTTCTTACTCTGATTTAAGTTATCTATTAAAGTGTTTTTTTTTTTTTTGTCAGTTTTGATGGCCATATTGATATTTAACGTACGTCTCATTTTTTTTTTCTTTGTCTTCTGGTCTCTGTTATTTTAACAATTACAAAGAGTCTTTGTAAATTAATCTTAATTGCAGAGTATAGTTTTCTTTTTCTTTTTATTTGCTTTCCATTTTTTTCTGAATATATATATATATATATGGGAAATAATTTTCTTATGTTGTAGGAAAATGCTTATCTTATGTTGTAGAAACAAGATTGTAAGTGGGACCCATAAGTAAGAGGAGAGAGAAAAAAAAAAAGAAATGGGACCCACCTAGCTTGTGTGTGTAGGAAATGTAGTTATCTTATGTAAAAGTAGATAAATATAACCCTATATATATATATATATATATATATATATATATATATATATAGGAAAAAATGTTTCCGCAGTTAATACGGAAAAGTTATCTGCATTTATTTCCAAAACGACGTCGTTATAGTATTGAAATCTTAAAAAATTATAAATATAAAGACTATTATAACCCTAAAATAAATTAAAATTACAAAAACACCATGATTGCCGTTCCAAAACGACGTCGTATTGGCTTACTGCATATAACTTATATGCAATAACTGCAGAAAAAGCGAACCCATGTATATATATATATTATGAGTTGTCCTGTCAAGTTTCTTAATGGGTTATCAAATTTTTATAACAAAAAACAAAGTTAAAACTCATTATTTACTAATTAAGCTAAGCTTTCTGCGAGTTTAAAGACATGCTTGATTTATTTATTATAATCAGTTTCCTTTTACTGGAATTTCCCTGTTGTAGTTCTACTAGAAAGAATTATATGTTCAAATTGCTGTGTGTTACCATCCAACTGAAAACTAATTGAGATTCTGTTATTCAAGCAAAGATCCAGTTTTATTGTGTTTATTGTTGCTAATTTGGTTACCTTCAGAGACTCACGAAACTGCTGAAGAAAAACAATCTGAGGGCTCTGTCGACCGAGGTTTGTCGTATATCACTGTGACACTTGATTTCCCTTTATGCACTTCATATTTTGACATTACATATCATGTCATCTCATTCTTCTTCAGATACAGTGCTTGCAAGAGTTGCAACAGAGAAGAGGCTTTCACTAATCAAAGCCTGGGAAGAAAATGAGAAGTCAAAAGCAGTGAACAAGTAAGAGCTTGCACCGCGTGCTTAAGTATCTTTGCTTGTTTCATTTTTTATGTGGATTCAGTTCTAAAAATGTTACAACCTTTCATTGAGTCACAACTCGCACCAAAAGCTAGCTCAAGGGGTGGAAGTGCCTAAAGCCTTATAAAGGCCACATCAACGTGGGACTATATATCTCAACACGTCCCCTCACATAAGAGCCCTTTAGGCTTGAAGGGTAGATTATGCACAGGCCCAATTTTTGGTTTATCTTTTGTGCTTTTTGTTTTAATCATGTAAAGAACCTTGAGATACACCACCTCAAAAGCTAGCTCAAGGGGTGAGAGTGTCCAAAGCCTTATAAACTCCACATTAGTTGCTCATACAACCAATGTGGGACTATATATTTTAACAAGAAAATTTCTGATCTCATTTTCCACTCTTAAGGAGGGAGTCGAAGAAGCTTGGCATAAATATGAATGACTTATGATAGCCATGAAGGGAACACCACTTGAGTCATTGCAACATCTAAACTTCAATTATAAAAACATCAATTTATTATTGTAGTTCAATACATTCCCTTTTCAGCTCAAATAGAAACAGACATTGGAGCAAATGTACCAGGCACTGCAGAACATCATTAACGTGGTCATTATGAAATTAATTTTGAAAAAGATATTTATATATTGAATTCCAATTAGAAACAAATGACGGCTATCGTTTTATCAAATTAGCTTGTTACTATAACATCAGTATGAGGACGTTTGGTTCTTTGATGTTATTTAAATAACTTTTGATTACTAATTTAATTGAATTTGATGAGCAGAGCTCACAAAAAGCTTTCAACCATCTCAGCATGGGAGAACAGTAAGAAAGCTGCTACGGAGGCTGAATTGAAAAAGATTGAAGTAAGAACATATTTTATTAGTTATTGTAACTTTTTTGAAAGTCTGTCTCCATTCATTCATTTTATTTTGGACAGGTTATAAATGTGTTTTTGTTGCAAGCCAATATTTTGAATAGGAAGGGGGAGAGGGGTAAAAATCTCTTGAATAACCATATTTTCCGATGGAATAACCACAACAAAAGATTTTGTTATCTTTGTTGTGAAAAGTGATCTTTTTTTTTTTGGAGTTACCCAACCCTAATTACCTCTTTGAGGCGAGTTGGCTCCCTCCGGTATCCCCACGAGCTTCGACTCTTTGAGCCGGCTATGAGACTAATCCGGAGTGCGGGGGAGTAGTGATGGCTAAAGGTTCAGCCCCCTCCCCAAGAATTCTTATATTAATATTTCAGCTCCCCAAAAAAAATGATGAAACTTGCATTTTCTGTTGCTGTAAATAATGTTTATTCTAACAATCTAAGAGAAAAATGCACCAAACTTTAACATGCCTTATCAAAAGGAAAATGATTTTTTTCCAATTTTCACACCAAAGATAGATAGGACACACATTGAATGTAGCAAAATAGAGGGGAAGTTGACTCTTCAATGTGCTTGTGAGTAGGAACAACTGGAGAAGAAAAAGGCAGAATATGAGGAGAAATTGAAAAATAAAATAGCTACAATCCACAGGCAAGCTGAAGAAAAGAAGGCAAACATTGAGGCCAAAAAAGGGGAAGATTTCCTGAAGGCAGAGGAGACAGCTGCAAAGTACAGGGCAACTGGAACAGGTCCAAACAAACTCATTGGTTGTTTCTAATACATCACTTCTCGAGCCTGATTAACAAAAATGTTGTATTATGGTTGTGTATTTCTTCCTTAGTACATGTGCGCTATGTTGTCTTTGGTGAGTTCCAGTCCATGCTCATTTATTGTGTGCACAGTGACAAGTTGGTGCATATATACCAATTACTCTATGTATAAAGAAATTGCATTACTCAATTTGGGAATAATAGCATTAATCCACTAACCCATCTCAGTTTCGAGAAGGGTAAAAGGAGAAGGATTGATGAGTCTGCATTTTGAGCCCTGATCGATATAACTGATAATTTTACCATGCTTACAATTCTTCCAAGTACTAATTCTGCCTTATTGGACTATTTGATACGAGTATATTTTCATGATCCAAAAGAACAATTTTTCAGGGGACTTAATTTCGATCTAAAAGTTAAAATTTTACCACATTAATAAATGAGCTTCCTAATAATAACTAAATAAAAAGTCAAACTCTTTTAATAATATGTCAAGTAATTATTTAAATAGTGTAAAATTCTTTAATCTTTTATTTTGCAGTCTCTTTATTTTGTCTCAGCATTACAGAAAGTTGATCCGATGATTCGAAGTTCAAGCTGTTTTCTCTTGTTCATTATTGGCATGTCAACAGTATAACTCCTATTCATTTGATATATTTAAGCCCTGTACTTTTGTGAATCAAATAACACATCATCAATAGCTCGGAACCATATATACACATAAGCAGCAGTTGTTGAACGACATGAACAATATCATCATCTCTAAATCCACTAATTTAACTATTGGCTGGCTACAGCCATGAAGTGGTTGGTAAACTTGAACTCTAGCAGCTAATTCCTCTATCTACCCTTTCCCCCTCTAAACCAACTACCAACTAGCAACATGGACAACGCACTGCTGGAAACCAGCTACACGGTAACTGCATTTACAAAAATGAAGAAATCATAAAAGGCAGAGTATTGCCTTTCCAAGTGGAAATATGGAGTAGACTATCTTAGTCACATCTACCATCAAGGAGATTCAGGAAATTGTCGGTTTGTGCCAAGAATCCTATATCGCTATCAGACATGTCTAGCAGGTGCTTTAGAGCAGAATCAGAAGTATCAAGAAATTCATAATTGCCTGACTCTGACCCAGCTGTGTCATAATCGAGCTTTGGTTTGTAGCTACTTGATTGTTCTTGGATCATGTTGTCATCTTCAAACTTTGGTTTGGAGCTACTAGTCACAGTGTTTTTCACCTGCAATGAGACATCTGAAAATGACTCCAATTTTGATGATGATGATGATACTTGTGAGAGAGGGCTTTGACACACTACTCCTTCATTTCCTTTGATCAAGCGAAATGACTGTCCAACCTCAGAATGCCAAAGTTGAAGAAAGTAATCAGGGCATGTTTTACTCGTTGACCATGAATTAAGCAATGAGGATTCCAGTGACAACCTTGCCTCTGCCTCAACTCTGGCACTTTCCCATTGTACCATGTGACGCGTAGAAAGTGATTCAGACTTGAAAATCCTTTGATCAGGAATGACACATGGCTGTTTTGGCCCTAGGGAATGACATGACCGAAGGAGGCGCTTCTTTAGATGGGTGTTCCAATAGTTCTTAATCTCATTGTCTGTTCTTCCAGGTAGTTGGGATGCTATAGCAGCCCACCTAAAAGAATGCATGGTTACTGGTTACACGCAAAGTAAAGTAATATCACAAGTACAAATCAACACAACCAAAAATTGAAGAACAAGCAAGGGGTTATTGGAGGGGGGGGCTTTGGTTATATTATGAGACATGAAAGTTCTCCTTTTGCTTAAGATTTTAGTATATAAGGATCCTTGATTACAGAAAGGACTAAAAGAATGACAACAAAACGAAAATATCAAACAGAACTGAAACAATATCTATTGGAAGTGATCAAATTTTAGCCTTACCCTATTTATCTAACCACATGAATTTGGAAACTATTTATATGAGGTTGAAGGTTTTGTACTTTTAAAGCATGCAACATGTCTAAAATCCAGCTTATGAATAAAATGAGCCTTCAGGACCAAGGGTTGGGTGTATGCATGTGAGTGCATTTTCAAGAAAATCAGCAAATGAAGCAATCCACTACCTGTTACCAAGCATGCCATGAAGTTGAATAATAGTACTTTCTTCTTCATTAGTAAATGGGCCGCGCTTGATGCCAGGCCGAAGATAGTTTATCCACCGAAGCCGACAGCTCTTTCCACATCGTAGGAGACCTAATCGTAAACATATATTAAATAAATGATTCTTCGATGTATGTCTTCATATATTTTGACAGTGTGTCAAATTTTCACTCTTTTCATAGCACATCAAATCCTCCATCCAACACGATTTCGCAAACCATTTTCTAGACGGGAAAGTATAATTGAATCAAAATATAATGAAATATAGTACTCTAAATGCATGTCAACAAATTTGGTTACATAAGGTATTGAATGACAGCATAATTAAATTAACAATATAACACTCACATAAGCTCATTGGTGATATAGTATTATTACCTGCAGGAAGGAAGAGACTGCCGTTTTTATAAATAAATAAAAAATACCATAACATGCAGAAATTGCTGCTAAGAGAACACAGCCAAAAGCGACAATCAGGTTTTCTTCATCATAGAAACAACTTCACATTGTGATTGAAGTTTCTTGAAGAGCAAGCTCAGAGTATTGAACTGATTAATATCTAAAACCTTGAAGAAAATGGAAACTGCAGTTGTAAGAAAACAATACTACAGAATCTTGCATTTACCATAAGCCCTATTCTTCTCTGGAATCAAAACTCCTCCAGAAGATTCCAGAAATAAAATAAAAAGAGGGGGAGAGACAGAGAGAGAGAGAGAGAGAACATCCACAAAGTACCGTACAAGAAATGCACAAGCAGAAAGAAGAAGGAAATGAGAAAAGAACAAAAAAGAGGGAATAAGAACTTGCACCTGCATGCTTGGGGAGTGTACGCCAACTTCCATGGCCATGCTTGTTGATGTAGTCAACTAAGGCTAGGTCTTCTTCAGGAGTCCAAGCTCCCCTTTTAACTCCATGTTTCTCACAGCAGGGTGCTTTCCCCATCTTCACTCACCACCTCATTAGCATTTCAGAACAATATTTGCACAAACTGATGATTAAACTAGAGGGTCTACTCATCAATCATCATAACAATTCAAAGGGGAGTGAGTTTGAGAGTGTGAGAGAGAAGAGTGAGTGTTGGAGAAGGAAAGGGATGAATCAGGTGAGACTGAGAGGTATAAATGCATGGATATATGTATATGTATAGGACAATTGGGCGGCTAAGAGGTGCAGAATCACATTTAATTAAAGAGTACATAACATACCCTTCTTAATGGCAAAATATAAAAAGCAGAGAAAATGACAGAATTATCAGAGAAGATAATAGTGGCAGAGAAGCCTCACTCACCCCTCACCTCGAAGAGTGTATGAGATGCAGAAAACGAGGGGAGTGAAGAAGGTAAAGGGTCCACTCATCCTTCCTTCCCCTGAGTGCAAAGCAGGAACAGGAGGAACATGATGATGGTTTGGGTTTGAGGGTGTGTTGCAGAAAAGCAGAAAGAGTTGAAGCGGTGGAGAAAAGACAAGGAAGTGATGGATGGAATCAATGTTTATTGGTTAAGGTGAAGACGGTGTTGACTCTTGACTCTTGACGGCATATGCATTTATTATCTGAACTGCTTCTCCAGTCAAACCTTCCTCAAACGTGGCTTCTCCCCACCTTCTACACTTTCCAACCATTCCACGCCATTTACTGAAAAGAGATTGTATCTTTCTTATATAATAAAAATAATTTTATTTGTTATACGCGTACAATATTAGGAGAAAATTCCTTATAAATTTTTTTTATAAATTTTTATAAATTATATTGTTAAGTATATATAGTGTACTTACATAATGTAACCTCATGCTTTATTTCTGAAAATATATAATATAATTTGTAAGAAATTACAAATAAAAAATTTATAAATATAATTTTTCTCATAAAATTATAAGAAATTATTATTTTATTATTTTTGACTCTACATAAAGTTCATACACTTCTATACATGTAAAAGATAAAATTATCTGTTATAATAAAAAATTTTAATCCCTACTTATATATAATTTTTTTTGACTTAATTGGTGTTTAAATTATAAGAAATATAGATGTGAATATGACGTAAGATATTATTTTCCTTACTTAATTTTTTCATACCATACCAAAGTGTTTATTTTATTTTATTTTTTATTTCTATACATGTTATTTGAATACTAAATACATGTTATTGTAGTTTCAAAAAAAAAAATACATGTTATTTTATTTCATACTTGTGTTCTCAGTGTAGAAAAATAAATTTATCCTTAATCAAATAGAAATAGAACGCTGTAGGAAGGTGTTTAAGTTATGTTATAGAGATAAAATTTGTGAAACCCATACTTTTTTATTTTTTTTATTTTTAAAAACAAATATGAGTCACATAATTCCTCTATAACATAACCTAAACATTTTATTAAAAAATTATACTTCTTTTTCCCTTGTCGTTGAGCAAGAATTAGAATGGCGCAAAAGTTGCACCATAATTTTGGTGTCCAAATCACAGTACTCATCTTGTACCAAAAACTCAAAAAACCAAAAAGTAAACAATTTTCCACGAGGACCATAACAATTGAAAAGAAGGAAAAAGTTGCCAAAGAAGGGAAATGCATATTCTTCTTCTTGTGTTGAAGGGGTTTATCTTTTATAGCTTTTGCCACCCCCTTTTCTTTTCTCCTCCAATAATGGTTACTTTTGCACACACTAGGAATAACTTCTTCTCTAAGTTCTCTGACTCATTCCTTCACCGCACAAACTCTATATATTAAAATGACTTATGCATCCATCTATCTTGTTGAAATCATTCAGAAAGAGAACCAATCCATTTGAGATAAATTTTCTGATACTGGTTTTGGTTCATATATAGGAAATGGTTAAGGTAACTATAGTTGGAAGGGCAAGCGATGGATTGCCTCTAGCACAAGGACTTAATTATATGAACGAAGAGAATGGCTATCTTTCATGTTACAAGCAACAAGCAGAGTTCATACTCCAAGAAATTTCAAGGGGAGCATTGATGGCTTCCAAGATGACCATTCGCATTGATCATTACTGCTTCAAGTATCCTTCCCTTTTCATATCCTTTATGTTCTTTTAGTTTCTTTCAAAATTAGTTTTGGTTTCTTTTATTGTTGAAGTTGTTGTCATGCTTGCAATTTTCTATTATGATTCATATTATTCAATTACTTGGTCCTTTATCACAGGCTAACTTGATGATCTTTTAAGAAATATGAAACATAAATTTGATTGTGATTGTACTTTTTTGGTATTAAGCTACTTGGTCGAGAACGGAGTTATTTTCATTGTTTTGTGTGAGTCCACGTATCCAAGGAAACTGGCTTTCCATTACCTACAAGATATACACAAGGAGTTTGAGAAGTTTGATAAAACCCTCATAGATAAAATCACAAGGCCATACAGCTTTGTCAAATTCGGTAATTCCCTTGAATCATTAGTCTGCCACAATATGATATCACTCTCTAGCACTTGGTGTTACTCTTTAGTAACACAGGAAATGAAAGTCCCCCTTTTTTTTATACTATAACTGACTTTAAATTTTTGTTTTCACCATATTTCCTTGCCAAACCAATCACAATTTCTTTGTCAGATGGTATAATTGCAAACTTTAGCAGACAATACATTGATACAAGAACTCAGGCCAACCTATCAAAACTTAATGCTAAACGGAAACAAGATTTAGATATTGCTATTGAAGACATGTCCAACATTTTAGAAAAGAGGAGAAATTCAGGTAAGATTTCTTTCCCCTCCACAACTTATCAATATCATATTAATACCTGTGATTATTCACAATAAGAAGCATTAACAAAATGAAAAACAAGTTATGCAATTTTTTGGTGTAGTTACGGAAACAATGAGAAGGTTACAAGTTACTCATCAACCTGTATCCTCGGTTTGGTGTTCCCCACGCCTTGAGGTATGGTATATAGAAAATTATAAACTAATGCTGCGGGCTAAGAAATTGGCTAAAGCTGAGTGCTATTTTCTTTACCCCATTTCTAGGCAAGAAAACAAGGAAAATATGTTAATTATGCATTTTTTTCTTTTTCTTTTGGAGCACAGGTAATTGCGTTGAAATGGACACCTATTATGGTCATTGTCATTACTTCGATGGCTCTTCTGTGGGCTAGCTTAGTCCTCTCAGATGAATTTATTATTTCAAGCTGGTAACAATTCCCTCGGATCAAGATTAAAGATGACGGTTTAATATGATAAGACTTCAATACTGGGAGGACTTAAAGACATGCCATGGCCCACTAGTATTAAATACGATACACAACTTTGATGTTGGAAAGAAATAAAGATATGAAGTGACCCACTGCCATCCCTTCTGCATGTCATTATCCGGGAAAAACAAGAGAATGAGAGAGAGAAAAGGAATAAAACTCTGATTTGTCATGGAGTTGTTGCTCTCTAGTTTGAAAGTTATATCTTGTATTTTAAATGAATTATTTATGATGTATGGGGATGTATGATGTATCAATGTGTTCATGAACTATTTATGAAGCATGCGGTTGTATAAATGTATGTGGTTTAGTATTAGTCAGCTTCGAATCGAACCATTACTAAAAGGGTTTGTCTACTCTAATGTTGGAGGATAGTAGGGCTCTTCATGGGTCAGGTCGGGTCAAGTTTTTGTCTGACTCGACCCAACTTGGTTTTTATAGGTCAGGTATTTTGACCCGACCCGCTTTAATTTGATCCAAGTCAGGTCTGACTTGAATTGGATTAGATTTTGTTGAACTAGTTCAGAACCAGTTTGGATCTGACCTGACTTGGTTTCTGAAGTGGGTCTGACTTGGTTTCTGAACTGGGTCAAATCAGACCTGACCCGTTTTTGACTTGGTTTTCTCACAAAATTTTTACGTTGCAAAAAACGAAAATTTCGTCACAAAATTATTTTTTCGTCAAAATTTTTACAAAAAATAATTTTCTATTGAAATTTAGTTTCCGTCAACACTTTTGACGAAAATGATTTCTTCCATCAAATGTTTTAAACGAAAAAAGAACTTTGTCAAAAAAATTGACGAAATGTTTTTCATTCAAAATTTCGATGGAAATGTAAAATTTTGACGGAAATTATTTCGAGGGAAATGTTTCATTTGAAACTTTCGACGAAATTTAGATTCTCTAAAGAATTTTGACAGAATATTTTTTTCGTCAAAATGTTTTTTTTGTCAAAAAAAGTTACGGAATTTTTTTATAGAAATGTGTTTCGTTGAAAATTTTGATGGAAATTTTTTATCACAAAACTTGACGAAAATATTTAATTGAAAATTTTCGATGAAAATGTGTTTCGCTAAAAATTTCGACCAAAATTTTTTTTTGTCAAAATATTTAACGAAAATTTTTCGTCGAAAACTTTCGCCAAAATTTGAAATATGTAAAGAATTTTGATGAATTTTTTTGCCGTCAAAATTTTTTGATGACGAAAATGTTTTCGTCGAAAACTTTCGCCAAAATTTGAAATCTGTAATGAATTTTGATGAAATCTTTTGCCGTCAAAATTTTTTGAGAACAAAAATATTTCCGTCGAAAACTTTCGCCGAAATTTGAAATCTGTAAAGAATTTTGATGAATTTTTTGCCGTCAAATTTTTTTGATGACGAAATTGTTTTCTTCGAAAACTTTCGCCAAAATTTGAAATCTGTAAAGAATTTTGATGAAATTTTTTGCCTTCAAAATTTTTTGATGACGAAAATATTTTCGTCGAAAACTTTCGCCGAAATTTGAAATCTGTAAAGAATTTTAATGAAATTTTTTGCCGTCGAATTTTTTTGATGGAAATGTGTTTCGTCGAAATTTTCAATGGAAATTGTTTTGAGGAAAATGTTTCATTTGAAACTTTCGACGAAATTTAGATTCTCTAAAGAATTTAGACAAAATATTTTTTCTGTCAAAATTTGTTATCGAAATATTTTTGTCAAAATTTTTTACGAATTTTGTTTACAGAAATGTGTTCCGTTGAAAATTTTGATGGATATATTCTTTATCAAAAAACTTGACGAAAATATTTAGTCGAAATTTTTTTATAGAAATGTGTTTCGCTAAAAATTTCGACGAAATTTTTTTTTGTCAAAAAGTTTAACCAAAATGTTTCCGTCGAAAACTTTCGCCGAAATTTGAAATCTGTAAAGAATTTTGATGAAATTTTTTTCCGTCAAAGAATTTCGATGAAAATGTGTTTCGTCGAAAGTTTTTATGAATATATTTTTTTGTGAAATCTTTTGACGAAATTTAGATTCCGTAAAAAAATTTGACAAAAAAATATTCTGTCAAATTTTTTTACCGATATGTTTTTAGTCACAAATTTTGATGAAAATATTTTTTGTCAAAAAATTTTGCGAAAATTTTTATGAAAATATTTTCCATAAAAATTTTTGACGAAATTGTTTTACGTTAAAACTTTTGTTTTAATGTAATTGTGATTTTTTTTTCATATAATGGGTATGGGTCAAGTTTTGAGTCAGTGTGTCAATATTAAAAAGAGTTAGGTCTAAAACTGACCCAAATAAAAGTGGATCAGTATTTAAACTAGTTCAAAAAATATGGGTATTTATGGGTCGGGTCAAGGTCAGGACAAGTGAACCAGTTTTTTTGCACACCCCTAGAGGAGAGAGCATATCTTATGCTAAGACACAAAATGATGGGATCCACCACTAAAAAAAAAGAAAAGAAAAAAAAATAGCAACACCCTTGTCACTAAAAAAGGTAGTGATTTTTTATTTGGCTACATCATTGAGGCTTGAGCGTTTAAGTTCCCAAGACCAAATCTCTTCACATATAATCTCAGACAGCACTTAAATCAATGCCAGAAATGTTTTAAGATTTACAGCAAAATCATTGAAGATCACCAGATGTTGACTTCTTTATTTGAAACGAAATTAAATATTTGTAAGCAAATGCAACTCTTGAAGAATAGCAATTGATTACACGTGTCTGGTATCCTATTGAATTCATTAGAATTGGGTAGTAGTACATAAATGGAAGTATTAATTTTATATAGCTAAAGTTTGATTGGTTTCAGTATGTATAATTATCCTTCCTTGCTGACCTGCCTTGGAAACTTTCCCTCATACATACATTGAATCATTGCTCAAGCTGAAATTGCTACATAAGTCAACCCCAGGTATACAATGGATGAAGCCATTTCCCACCATTTGATTTGCAAACTTTAGCTGTGAATTGAACATGTGAGGGGCTGAACTATGAGTTAGACTGTTATGATAATCTCGACCAAATGGTCCTTCTGACATATCATGCATTGCAGCTTCTTGAAAAGTTGAATTGTGATCAAATCCATTCCTCAAGACCAAAGAGTCAACTGAATTTGCAGAGTTTCCACCATGTAGATGATCCAGAGAAAGCCACTCAGCAAATAACAGTTTTGGTAAGGAGCTTTGATGAGCCTCTTTGGGGAAGTTATAATTCTGTAGGCCTTGAGTTGCAAGCTTTTGGAGAGAGGGTGAAGAGTCCATGGTATCTGAACTTGAGTTAGCACAATGAATTTGTTTATGAGATTCCATTTCCTTAGCTTTGACCACTCTCTTTTTCAAATATGAATGCCAGTGGTTTTTTATCTCATTGTCTGTCCTTCCTGGCAAATGCTGTGCTATCTGTGACCACCTAGCCCAACATAATTTAAGTTTCTCTCATCAGTCTTTATTAAAAGGGGAAAGAATTTGCACTGCACAATTTAATTCCACCACCACTCCATATTAATTGGAAAGAAGTAGTGTTCACTTTCTGTTCTAAATTTCGGGAAGGGAGCTATGAATTAATGTTATCAAGTATATATACACTCATTTTTTATGTGAATGGTATATTTGAATTTAAAATGTTTGATAATAACCTATTGGAATATATAAAGGGAAAATCTATAAAATGAACAAATAATATTGAATTAGATTAACATAGAGAGCTTAGGAATAGTTAGTATAATATTTTTTTGTTTTCAATGCTCATCCCTCCTTAAAAAAAGGAGCATGACATCCAAAGCCAATTCATGGTTTGACTGACCTATCGGTTCTTCCTTTTACTTTTCGTTTAAATAGGACCCAGTTGCTTCTATGAAATAGAATTAAATATGAAATCACTCCCTAATCCAATTGCATTCTCTAACTTCAAAGACTCAAACATTAAAATGGAGACTTTGCTTTTCTTTTTCTTGCATCATATGCACTAATTAAAAGATAATTAACACCTACCCCTGACAAGTCTGTATCAATATTTAAAAATTACAAAAATTTATTTAATTCTCTTAAAATTTGCTGATAAAATTGAAATTACTAAAAATTTAGAAAGTAGAAGCAGATTTACTCTTCTTGCTTACTTGTTGCCTGACATGTGGTGAAGGGTCATGATTGTTTCCTCCTCCTGTTTGCTGAACTTCCCTCTCTTCAATCCTGGCCTTAGATAGTTAATCCACCTTAGTCTGCAGCTCTTTCCATTCCTTTGCAAGCCTGTACGTATATGTAATTGCACTCCATCAATATCAGGTAAACATGAAAAGAAAAAAAAAAAAAAAAAAAACAAATGCCTGTCGTTTTGACTTCAACATTTTTATTATTACCAGCAGAATCTACATTTACTATTACTCAAAATGCTCGTCTAGTCAGCCATATGGTGTAAAAATATGCAAAGCAGAAGTGTAAAAGTACTTTGTGTATCTTTTGCAAGGAAGATTGTGAAATTTTGACAATATAGTAATAATACTTGTATAGACTTTGATCATCACAAATCTCACAAACACTCCAAGTGTGCAATGGCTTGCATGGGAGTCTGAGAGGGGTTTGTGGGGGATAAAGGCTGCCCAAGTATCATTTTCCATAATAATATCACCTTTTCTCATATAGAATTGATTGGACAAATTTATAATAATGAGTACAACTTATTGAGATATATAGTTCCATATTAGTTGTATGAGCAACTAATGTGGAGTTTATAAGGCCTTGGACGCTCCCACTCTTTGAGCTAGCTTTGGGAGTGGTGTATCTCAAGATTCTTTACACAACTAAAGAAAAAGACTTAATTGTTGGTGCATTTTACAACAACATATCTCAAATTTATTGGTGTTAAAATCAATGAAGCATGCCCACATTACTATTTGATAACTTAATCTGAGTGCAAACAAGCTGAAGGCATATTTTTCAGATTAAGAGAAGAGAAACCTTCCTTCAAGAAAACCAAGGATGTCTCCATTTAATAATATGAAAGTATAAGAGTAAGGAACAATGCTCCTTTGCCTACATATCAGGAATATGCTCACTTGTATGGTTTGATAAAGGATCACAAAACAGGGAAGAAAAAAGAAACCAACCTGTCTTAATGGGGACAGAGCTCCAGCAGCCATGACCATGCTTAAGGATGTAGTTTCTGAGCTTATTGTCTTCTTCAGGTGACCACAAGCCCTTCCTGTGTTTTGGTTTTGCCTTTTGTAGTGGCTGGCACTCCATTTTGCTTTGCCTGACAGAAATTAACTTCAATGGTAAGCTTGGATTAACTACAACAGATATGAAAGACTTCAGAGCAGAATTGGAGAGAGGAAGGAAAGATTATTTGGCAAGGAAACAGTGCACAACCAGAATGATATATTTATAAAGTAGGAGATAGTTTTGCTTGTGCATTTTTTCTATAACTAATTAAAAAGTTATAAAAAAAATAGCGTTGAAATAACAAAATAAATATATAAACCAAGAAGCTTCCATTCAAAAAGTTTGTGTCCTACCCCATGGGTTGAAAAAGTGTTCTACCTACTGAAATTCACCCTTTCAGATTGAAAGGGTGCCAACTTGGAAAATGTTGGAACCTAAGGTATCATTGTTTGCCATGTTTCTCTACTCCATACCTTTATCAAAATTACAATCACTTGTTCAAAATCCCCAAAAGTTACATAATTTAATTTTTCATACACTATTGAGGGAGTTTGCTTTTGTACTCAAATAACTTATTTTAAACATTTTTATGACAAATACTATAAATAACAAATCATATTCGAGATCATATGGTATAACACTAGCTGGTGTCTTTATCATCTCGAGTCTAGTTCTTCTTCTTTTTGTTGTCCTTGCCTAATATGAAAATCTTATTTTATTTGAAAGGCTTTGTTTAAGATATAAAAGTGTCTTCAGTCTTCACCAACAACATAAATTAATCTAACTGATGAAACTTTCATTCTCTAGCCAGATTAAGTAGACTTAATGATGGTGAGGTGGTAATAATGGGAATGAAGCCAAGCTATGGAGGAGACTATTCTTTGAGCCAGTACACCTAATTACTTAGGCTTATTCAAGTCAACATTTGTCTCGTGCCGACACATCCTCTTCCAGCCAAGAGCAGTTAACGAAGTACTGTACTCATCATCTCATTTATCATATAATCATATCATGTGAAAGTATTCCTCATTCAATCATGAATCAATTATCAACAATTAATGAAAATTCTCTCTTCTTTGTTTTAGGGACTTCGTTAAAATTATAGGTTGATTTGTTAATAAATTATTGAGAATTTTTACATAAAATAAACATATTAATATAAAATATAAGAGGATTCATTCTCGTTAGTCGTTACCATTTCCATCCAAAATAAATTATGCATTTTGACGTGTAAACTTTAAATCCTCCAAGCCGATATGCTTTCTAGATTATGGATTTTGATTATAATCATATCAGGGTTTTGCAACTTCTTTTTAAAATTCCATGAACTGCGTATGTCAAATTCAAATAAGGCAACAAATGGGAAATGGGTACGGGATCCTGTTTTTGTTGATGCTCCTTGCATGTGCACTATTCCTTTGTGAAGATACGACAAGTAAACAGAAAGATCAAATTACGCTTATAATAAATTTGAAGGAAATTCAATCTTATTAAAATTGTTCATTGACTCAAGTTAAAATATTAGGTTACTGGGTCATTGGTTTGATCGCATGACCTAATAATTATATGTAATTCTATAATTTATATTAAAAAATTAAAAACATATTCAAATATCTAACAAAATTATAAAAATTTCAAATATTTTAATATAAAAATAATAAATCACACATTATTATTCAATAAAGGAACAAAAATATAATGATCGTGATACGGGGCTTCCAGTTCAGTAAACGACATCCCAAACTATAAATCAAATTAAAATTTCCTGCATAGTGCATAATTGAGATAATATTAGTGTTGTAGATACATGACCTATGTAAATCAATAAGCAAAAAATACTCTCCATTATGATTTATTTTATTTTTTGAAAATTTTCTTTTGGAATTTTTTTTTTGGAACTCGGGCCAGGTCACTGCTTAACCGATTGGGTCTCACCGATTCTAATGCATGACCAGCCCATTACTTCATCTGAACCAGTTATATGATCGGTTTATCAATTTTTGAGTCGACCCAACCAAACTGGTCCGTTTTTATTAACATTGGAAAGTAACATACAAATGATTAACAACATCCATGGCTTCAAGTGTACAAGCCTCGTTACTCTCAACCAAAGATCTGAGTTACAATAGAAAAAATAATCTTGGAAATTCGAACTAAATTAATCAAATAATATATGAATCTACAACCAAAAAAAATAAAAAATAAAATAAAATAAAAACTAATACAGAGAAACTGAATACAAATACGTGCTTCAACCGGTGAGGGATCGTTCAAGTTTAATAGTATTTTTGACTTTGAGCTTCTGGTAAAGTAGCATTATTAAATTTGATAGAAAGAATTTTATCGCTGGTATGATTTTACCCAACTCAAATTAGACTAATCGAGTCATCGACGAATAAATGAATAATATAAAAAAAAATTAATACAATTAAGACCTCAGTTTTAAATGCCAGCAACATCCGATCAGGTAAGCTTGAAGATTCTACAAGCTTGTGCTGCTGAAGTTGCTTTAGGAAAAAAATTGTGCTTACTATAGCCATTACACTTTCATAATTGCTTGATAAAAGGAACTTTTGTACAATTTGGCAGAAGTAAACTTTGGGGAACTGATTGCAACAGCATTCATCACATATGACTCTAGTTGAATAACTGATACTATAAAATATACAAGATTTTAGTTCATTTTAACAAATGACTTTCGCTTCTGAAATGAGAAAACAGATCCCCTCTTTTATGGGATTTTTTTCCATTGACTAACTTACCAGTTTTCAAGAGTCCAGCAACTAAGTTAGAGAAACATTACCATGGTCAACTAAGCAGAGGTAGGTTTTTTATTTTCATGACGACGGTAACCGGAGATAATCCTCTCCATTCTTAAAACACTTTTGCTACGGAAAACCAACAATGACCTCATTTTTGCTTTAGTTCTGTTCAGCAGAAATAAATCTATTGAATTTGATATAAATAGAGAAAAAAAAATTAACCATGTAAATGCAACGGTGATTCCTAAATTTTAAATCCTCGTAATGGTAAAATAGAAATATTAAAAATAGGGCACGCTATTCTTATATCGGTATAAAAATAAGAAATTTTACATCAAATCTTAATCATTGATTTACTTGCATCTAAAGGTTCACATGTATAATAAATCGGGATCGTTAGATATAATTAACATTCTCGACCAAAATTGAAACTATAACTTATAACGGTATAAAATTATTCCGACTCTAAAAAATAAAGGCATTAGACAATAAATAAGTTGGGACATGCACATGTATACCTATCTTATTTCCAGGGAATTATACAAGCTAGGAAGGATGATCATATTTAATGCTAAAATTTCAAAATGGAAATCTCAGGGTCCCTTTGTACATTGTGTTCCTTCAATCAGGCATATACCAAAGCAACACAAGCTATTGACTAAGAAAATGATACCCAGTTAGTTTGTCAAGGAACATAGGAATCCGAGTGAGACAAGACAAAGGTACAGCATTCATGAGGAAATTCCGAAGCATGTTTGCATCACATTATTCCGAATTTGAGATTATTGAAATAAACTAATGACTTGCTGAGGTCAACAAGGAATCAAAATTATTGTTGAGGATTGGGCAATGTGGTTCTTCAATGTATAAACTAAACAATAATTCATTTTTATATTTAGCTAAAGTTCAACACAAAAATCCCTTTGCCAGATTATACTTGCATTAAAAAAAATGGTCCAAAAACTATATATACATTACAAGGAGATAAGATATTGTCACGCATGGTTGCAAGTTGGCCTCCTCTAAGTAGCAAGAATTATTCAGTTTGTCAAATAATATTAAATAATAATACTGATGAGAAGGAAGAAACATAAAGTCTTCAATAATTGCCCTTTAAATCGACTAATAAGATGGATATTCTGAAGGACTTAAATAAGTATAAACCTGTAATGATCTTTCAAAGACTTATAACCAAATTACCCAACAAAATTAATTTGTAGGCGTGCCAAAAGCTCAAGAGGAACGTATTTTCGTCTAACAAAACTCGAAGCACGCAGTGTCCTCAAGAGAGTTATTTTATTCTTCCTAAACTTCTGCCTAAACTTATGGAAAGGATGAAGAATCATCATCTGCCAACTATTATCTTGTAGGGCAAAAGGGAATCTCATAATTGTTATCCTTTGCACTTTTAGTTAAGGGTTATTTTGATGTAAAACTTTGGTTCTTAAGAGGTAAGAGATATTGATTTTATAAACAAAAGGGATCATGCATAATAAAACTTGTTTATCTTAAAAATAACACATTTTGTACTCCTCGCCTTTGGGCATGCAATTAAGAACTGTTCACATGTTAATCTTAGCAATTTATTTTATTTTTGGTACAAGAAAGGGGAAACGCCCCTATCTTAGCAATTTAGAATGCAATGATTTGGCTTTGTTTCCTTATGTAATTTATTTTAATTACAATTACAATTCGCTTATATACATTCAATCAATTTAAAAGGAAAAATATTTCTACACACCATTTTTTTAGACATTTTACATATCTATGCTTGTTTGAGAAAAAAAAAAATAGAGAATGAGAATGTGTATTGGTAAGTATGATTTTTATAATTTTATTAGCTACTAGAATTGGTGTAACAATAACGTAATGAAATTGGAGTGAAAATATCATTATTATTATTCTTTTAAATCATCTCATTCCCACTCTAATTTTACAAAAACTATAGGGCTGTAGTTGGCCCGCTACCATATGCATCCAATATTTTTTTAGGAACATTTTAATATATTTTTTTTTGATACATTGAACATGTTAATATTACTTTAGTTCAATAAAGGGTGCTCGGCCAGCCAAATTAATTTAGAAATTAATTTTAGTGGTTTATTAATATAAAACATTTTTACACTATTTTTCAATCCTGTTTTATTATATACTTTAATGAGTTTGACTAAAAACACTATTAGTGATATATTAATCAAACTCATTAAATAATATGATAATATTAAATATAAGTATGGAATGGGAGAGATCAAGAAAAGACTTGTTACTAGACAAAATTAAAGAGAAGAACGAGAGAAGACAAAGAGGAGTAGGGCAGAA